CCCCCCCCCCCGCGCCCGCCCGGCCTCGGGGAGCCCCAGTTCATCTCTGTTGGCTACGTGGACGACGCACAGTTCGTGTGCTTCTACAGCGACGCGGAGATTCCGAGGACGGAGCCACGGGCGTCGTGGGTGGAGCAGGAATATTGGGAGAGAGAGACACAGATCGCCAGGAACAAAGACTTTCCGAGTTGACCTGAGGACCCTGCTCGACGAATGCTACAACCAGAGCAAGGGCGGTGAGTGACCGCGGTCGGAGGATCCATCATGGATCAGCCGAAAACGTCCCGAGCCCCACGTCCCAGACTCTCCCTGAAGATTTCGGAACCGCAGAGACGCTGTAAAGATGATGGCCCGGACCCACTTTCACTTTCAGTTTAGAGAAGTCCGCTTGCGGGTGGGCGGGGCCGCGGGGCGGGTAAGACGGGGACCCGGCTGTGGGTGGGGTCCCCGCAGTCTCTCCAGGTGATGTCTGGCTGTGAAATGGGGTCAAAGGGGCGCCTCCACCGCGGGTACAGTCAGTTCACCTACGACGGCCACGATTACATCGCCCTGAACGACGACCTGACGACGTGGACCTCGGCGGACAAGGCGGTGCAGATCACCCGGAGCAAGTGGGAGCAGGCGGTGCCGCGGGGAGTCACGAGGCCGAACTGGAGGGCACCTGCTGCGCAGACACCTGGAGAACGGGTAGGACGCAGGTTCGGGCCTTGGGCAGCTCCTCCCTCTGCTCTTGGGCTGGGCTCCGTCCTGAGGAAGAGGAAACCCTCAGCTGGGGTCATGCCTCTGTCTCTTTTTGTTTTTAATTTTTTTAAATGTGTTTATTACAAAAAAAGTCACACACCGAAATTAACCAGAACAAAGACTATATACAGCTCAGTGAATTTCAGTACAGTCACAGTAGTCATTATTAACGTGTGGAGAGACTGTTTGTATTTTACACATTCGTTATCAAATATGATTCATGCACTTATCCAGCACCAACACGCAAAAAATGAAGGAAAAAGAAAAATCCAAACAGACTTATAACTAGAAAACAATTAACTTTTTTTTAAAAAGACTTATTTATTTATTATGTATACAACATTCTGCCTCCATGTATGCCCACACACCAGAGGAGGGCACCAGATCTCATTACAGATGGTTGTGAGCCACCATGGGGCTGCTGGGAATTGAACTCAGGACCTCTAGAAGAACAGCCAGGGCTCTTAACCACTGAGCCATCTCTCCAGCCCCAAAAACAATTAACTTTGTATCCTGCTTCATAACTCAAATCCATTGCCTGCATTCAGTCCTGCCGCATCCCTGGTGTTTATGCGATCTTCCTATACTGTACACATGTGTACACGTGTCTGCACATAACCGTATACTGTTGGCTATATCCCATATATGGGGAAAACCAATGTAGTTTTTTTTATAAGATTGTGCGGCATCGATTAATAACATACGTGCTAAGTCCATCCATTTTCCTGAGTATTTTGTGATTGCATTGGTTAGAGCCGAACAGTAATCCATCTTATTTGTATACCAAATTTCCATTATCTATTCATCTGTTGATGGACACCTGGGTTAAATCCAGTTCTTTGCCCTCGTTAATAAAGCAGAAATAAACATGGGATGAAAATATGTGCCCAGGAGTAATATAGCTGAGTCGTATGATAGTTCTGTTTTTAAGCTTGTTGAGTAATATTTAAAATGATTTTCACAATGACTGTATTAATTTACACACACACACACACACACAAGTGAGTAAGGGCTCTTCTCTCCCTGTGTTCTCTCCACCATTTGCTGTCAGATTTGTTGATGACAGTCTTTCTGACTGGGGTGAAGCGCTGTCTCTAAGCAGTTTCATCATCTTTATTTCATTCTTCATGTGGATGAGGGTTTTGCCTGCGTGTGTGCATGTGCACCATGTGTGTGCCTGGTGTCTGGGCTCAGAAGAGGGTGTCAGGTCCCTGGGGCTGGAGTTACACACAGTGCATCTAACCCAGGTCCTCTGCAGAGCATCAAGTGCCCTTCACCTCCGAGCCAACTCTCCAGCCCCTCAAAGGAGTCTAATCTGCATGTCATGAAGGGTAGAGATACTGAACACAGTGAAAATGGATAGTGGCCACTTCTGTGTTTTTCTTTTGTTAAGACAACTATCTCTCCAGTTTCCTCACCCATTGTTGATTGCGAAGGTTGGTTCTCTGCTGTTTCGTTTCTGCAGTTCTTCCTGAATTGAGACTCTAGTCCCCCGCCTGCAGCCCAGCTGGTACAGGTATCTTCCTTCTGTTCTCTCTGCTGATTGTGTCCTACGCCGTGGAGAGAAAGTGTTTTCATGTTGATGCGTGGCTTCATTAGCTCCTGTGGTATTGTCCTATTTTGAAGTTTTTGCCCAATCCAGTATCTGGAAGAAAATCCCTGTTTTCTTCTTGAACTTTGGGTTCTTCAGGTTTTAACATTTCCAAGTTTACTTTTGTACAAGGAAAACGGTGAGCACCTGAATTCATCTTCTCGGGTAGGAGAACGATGTTGTAGCATCGGGTGGAGAATGGGCTCTCTTCAGTGTGTGCTTTGAATTCTTTGTGGAAAACTGAGTGTGCAAAGCTTTGTCATTTTATTTCCAGGGTCTCAATCCTAGGCCTTCGATATTTCCTGTCTAGTTTGTGCCAGTTCCAGGCTGTCTTTGTCACTACAGCTTTGCAGTAAAATGTGAGGTTGGGAGTGGAGCAGCTGCAGGTTGTTGGCTGCTCATGGTTTTGTCATTGCATGTAAGTTCTTGTCGTTCTTTCTCAAACGACGGAATATGTCAGAGTTTTCATAGTATTGCATTAAATCTGAATATTAGTGTTGGGACTGTGGGCATTTTCACAACATTAACTCTGCCAGTTCAGGAGCATGGAGTGTCTTCCCATCCTCTAACACCCTCTTCTGTGATCTTCTGTGTCAGTGTCCAGTGTTTTCATTGCAGACTTCTTTCCTTTCTTTGGTTACATATATCTCTAGACACTTGATTCTGGTGGAGTCACGTTGATTGTCGTACATTTCCTAAGATACACTGCTGGCACAAATAAAGGCTACTTTTTAAATATTGATGTTGTATCTGGAAACCACAGGTGTTCATTAGGTCTCAGAGTTTTCCTGTGGACTCAACAGGATCTTCTAAGTATAGAATCGTGTTGTCTGGAAATAGAGGTAGCGTGAATTCTTCCTTTTCTATTTTCATCCTGTTTATGTCTAGTTTCTGTCTCTCTCTGATAGCTTATATAAATCATCACTGTATCAGATAGGATGGTGGAGAGTGTACTCCCTTGTCTCCTCCTGGCTTTAGAGGAAACTCGGGCTGTCTCTCCTTCTGACACCATATCCACCTGTCCCCTGTCTCTCACATGTGGGAGGTGGAAAGTTCTTTTTGACCTCCTTACCTTTAGCTTAGACTGACTCTCCTAGGGCTCACCTTTCTCTCAGGACAATTCAGAGTGTCTCCAGAGGGAAGGAGAGAAGGTCCTGAAATGACCAAGGCAGTTGACCTTCAGTCTGTAGTCCTGTGTGGCCATATTCTTGCTCAGGCCCAGGTCTCTGCCTACACCCAAGGTCTCTGGAGTCTGACTTTAGTGACGCTGAATCNCCCCCCCCCCCGCGCCACCAAATTTCTGACCCTTCCCAGGAAGGTCTCATGGACCCTGCTGGAGTCCCCAGGAAGAATGCAAAACACCTGACATTTCCTCCTCTTCTCCTCAGATCCTCCAGAGACACATGTGACCCATCATCCTGGATATAAAGGTGTTGTCACTGTGAAGTGCTGGTCCCTGGGCTTCTATCCTGCCTTCATCACCCTGACCTAAAGAGGGAGGAGTAGGAGCAGACACAGGATATGGAACTGGTGGAGACCAGACCTTCAGGGTATGGAACCTTCCAGAAGTGGGCATCTCTGGTGGTGCCTTCTGGAGAGGAGCAGAGATACACATGCCATGTGTACCATGAGGGGCTGCCTGAGCCCCTCACCCTGAGATGGGGTAAGGTGGTGTGGGGGCAGAGCTGGGGTCAGGGAAAGCTGGAGCCTTCTGTAGACACTCAGCAGGGTGAGGCTTCATAGCTTCGGCCCTGACCCTCACCTTCTCTTGCCTTCCCTCCTAGATCTTCCCCAGTCCACCATCACCATCATGACTATTGTTGGTGCTGTCCTTGGAGCTGTGGTCTTCTTAGGTTTTATTATTGGTGTGATGATGTGGATGAGGAAGAACACATGTATGTAAGGGGCGGGCCTGCATTTTTTTTATTTTCTCTTTTTGCATTCAGCACACTCAAGAAGGGTGCACACTCAAACACCACACCACACCCATGCCCATCTCTGGATCTGTATGCTGACAATCACCTTACTGTAGGGAAATGTTCATAACCCTGGTATTGGAGGTGATGGGGACCTGACCTCAGAGGTCAGAGGGGAAGGTTCCTGCTGAGCACAGACCTCCAGTCTGGCATTGGCTCTCTCCCTGCACACCTCCTTCTCCTGCCTGCTGACCCTTCCCTCGTCTGCAGTCACAATTCAGGAAACTCTATGGGGACCGGGACTTCCCTGGTCTCTCCCAGTTTTCCTCTCACAGGTGGAAAGAAGGCAACTTTGCTCCTGCTGCAGGTCAGTGTGTCAGGGAAGAATCCTCCCTGAGGCACTGGAGTGGAGGCTGAGCTGATGGTTTCTCCTCTTGACTGTGTCTGGTTGTTTCTACTGCAGGCAGGGACAGTGTCCAGAGCTCTGTCTTGTCTCTGGAGGCTTGAAAAGGTGACACCCTGGGGTCTGGGGTTGGGGCTGAGGCAAGGAGGAGAGGACTGGGTCTCAGGGCTTCTCCGACTTAGACTTTTCTGAGTGGTGGCCTTTGGGAGGTCCTTATATTGACTTTCGTGGCTCTTTTTCTTTACCTTGGAACAGCTGCCTTGTGGACTTGAGCGTCCAGTTCTGACCTAAGAACAAACAAATTCTCTGTGGACAGCAATGTCTGAGGGTTTCTGCTTTTCCTGTGCACACAATGAGAAAAGCTGGGGCCCATTCCAGCCCTGTCCAGCAGGACCCTGGCCCTTCACTTTCCCTGCTCCCTTCCTCAGCCAACCATCCTGGCCAGCCACAGGCAGGAGGGGACATCTCTATTCCTGTCACCCCCATGCTGCCCTGAGTTCCAGCCCTCGTCTTCCCCACTGAACATAAAAATCAAATGTGAACTTGATGGTTTATGTCCTTACTGAGAGACTGGCAGTCAAATTAAAGGAGAGAATTCTGCAAGTGTGATGTAGAAAGTAAATGGCAGTTTGGAGAACCTTCCAGAATCTGTGTTTGTTGTGCTTAGTGTCCAGGGGGGCACAGGATGAGTCTGTGGGAGCTGAGTGAGGACGGGGCTGTGCTGGGTGGAGCTCTGTCCATGTGGGCTTCCTGTGCTCACTCCTCAGCTAAGTCCTCCCTGGCTCTTCTGTCCTTGTCCCTTAGTACAAGCACATGCAGAGACACTCTGATCACAGGAACACAGGATGTCCCCAGCCCTGTTCTGTGTCCAGGATGAGAGCAGCCAGGGCTGCAGTGTGAGGTCTGCCTGGGCTCAGTCCTGGCTGTAGCCTTTACCCATCCTTTCTGTTTACTTCTATATTAGCTTGTGTGGAGGAGCCGCCCTGGGGTCATTCCTGTGATTGCTGCCTGTCTCTTTCTCCTTTGAGTGAGACCACAGTAGGAGCTGTTTATCCTGTCCTCTCCCAACAAGGCCCCTGCACTCAGGAGGTGATCTTCAGCCTCCTGAGCTCCTGCCTCCTTCAGGGCTGTTGCCCATTGCCTGGAGTTTCCCCCCTTCCTCCAATCTCTCAGAAGCTAACCCTTGCATGTAGGATCAGCAGAAAGAACTGATCCACAGGGTCTCAACTTAGATCCGGTCTTGTTGGTACTGTGTTCTGCTCTGCTCCACTGCCTCTACCTCCCTGGCTCTGGGAATCCTGGTGCTGCCTCTGAGGGTAACTCTAAAACTCATAGGCAGGTTCCACTAGTGTGTGCAGCTAGGAAACTGATGAGGATCACTGTAACTTTGGTAATATTGGCATCAGCAGGTAAAGCCTTTGTGTGGCAAATCTTTCCATGTAGCACATCTCAGAGCATCTGAGAAGTTTCCTTTAACAGTGAAGAATTTGTTCTGCAGAGCTGGTGAACATTTAACCCCAGCATTCCAAAAACCAAGGCAAGCAAATCACTGTGATCCAGGCCAGTCTGGTTCAGGACTGTCAGGGTTACACAGAGAAACCCTGCCTGGAAAAATAAAATTTAAAAAAAAAAGCAAAATTGAAGAAATTATGAATGCTTCCTCACAGGAGAATTAGTTCATTTCAAAGAAATGAAACAAAATCGGCAGTGAGTGACTGTTGGGTCTGTTTTAAACTTTTTAACAATCTGGATCTAGCCTTTTATGTGTGTGTAGCTTTATAATTGCTGTAACTTGGGCTGGAGTGATGTCTAGGAGATTAAGAGCACTGCCTGCTCTTTCAGAGGTCCTGAGTTCAATTCCCAGCGTCTGGTGCCCTCTTCTGGCGTCCAAGCACACATGCAGGCAGAACACTGTATACATAATGAATTGTGTTTGGTATAACTTTAAAAAAATCCCAATTCAAATTCCCACTCCCTCTCCTCCTCCTATTCCCTCCACACACCCTCCCACCCTACCCCCTTTAATCCTAAGAGAGGGTAAGGCACTTTGCTTTGTGGAAAGTCCCAGGCCCTCCCTACTATATCTAGGCTGAGGCAAGGTATACATACAAAGAGAATAAGATCCCAAGAAGCCAGGACATGCAGTAGAGACAAATCCCAGTGCCACTGTCAGTGGCCCCTCAGTCAGCCCCAATTGTCAACCATATTAAGAGGGACTAGTTTTATCCTATGTTTGTTCCTTCCCAGTCCAGTTGGAGTTGGTGAGCTCCCATTCGCTCAGGCAAACTGTCTCAGTGGATGAACCCCTCATGGTCTTGACCTCCTTGCTCATATTCTCACTTCTTCCCCTCTTCAATGGACCTTGGGAGGTCAGTCTAGTGTTCTGATGTGGGTCTCTGCCTCTGTTTCCATCTGTTTTTGGACGAAGGTTCTATAGTGATATTTAAGATAACCAGTTTGACTATAGGGCAAGGACAGTTTGGGCCCCTTCTCCTCTATTGCTTAGGGTCTTAGCTGTGTTCTTCCTTGTGGATTCCTGGGAATTTTCTAGATCCAGGTTTCTTGCTAACCTCATAATGGCTCCCTCAGTCAAGATTTCCCTTTCCTTGCTCTCATGTCTGTCTTGCATGCAAATGGATGGCATTAGGAAATACTATCTTGAGTGAGGAAACCCAAACCCAAAAAAGATGAATACGGTATGTACTCACTCATAAGTATATATATTTAGGTATATTTAGGTATAACAGAAAAAAGTATCTAGATAATATGTTTGGTGGCGATGAAGTCAGCAGGCTTTACTGCTGGCCTGCCACTTCACTTCTGGGTGCCACTTCATGGTGACACACTCCTTTAATCCCAGCATTTGGGAGACAGGTGGGAGGATCTCTGTGACTTTCAGAACAGCTTGGCTGTGTAAAGATACCCAGTCTAGCCGGGTGGTGGTGGCGCACGCCTTTAATCCCAGCACTCGGGAGGCAGAGGCAGGCAGATCTCTGGGAGTTCGAAGCCAGCCTGGTCTACAAGAGCTAGTTCCAGGACAGGCTCCAAAGCTACAGAGAAACCCTGTCTCAAAAAAAAAAAAAAAAAAAAAAAAAAGACCCAG